CTCTTACAGCACACGTAATATTCGTAGGAATATGTTAAAAAAATTAGTTTAAAGTGGAGCTTTATTGTCCGTAATTAAACTCAGGATTTGCATAATTTGATTTGTCCTGAAGCAGCGCCGACGACAATGCGAAATGTAATAAACTCGACCAGATCTCTGACTCTCTTCTTGTTCCTTGTGTTTTGGCAATTTTGTTTCCCCTTCGATCGAAAAATACATTCCAAAAGATGCCAGAAAAAATGTGCAAAATTTGCACTCCTCCAAGATTTCATATTTGAGCTCAAGCTCAAACCAAGAGCCTGGGTGGGGCCAGGCCAGGCACAGGAATGCAATCAATTTGCAAATTTTCGCTACTTTGCCGCGTTTGCAAATGTTCGAGTATTTGGCTCCTTAGCAGTTTTTTCCTATCCTGCATACTACATATACGTACATACATACATATATACAAAAGTATGCATGCATATATACTTTTTGTTCCCGTTCCGCTTCTATTATTTCCCCATCGCATTGCCATCTATTTTGTGTTATTTCTGCACTTCGCTGCTTGTCTGGCGCGCATCGAACGCTGAGCCTGTCTATCTGTCTTTGATAATGCACTGCGAATAGCATATATTTGGGATTTAAAGAAAAGTTTTAAGAGCAAATAGGGTCGAAAATATATTCCTGAGAATGGGTTTCGCCCAAAGTGACATGTATTATTTGAATGATTTCTGAGACATTTTATTTATAAAATTATTTAGCTTTTGTTTCTATTATCTGTTAGGTTTTTTCTTCGTGTAACAATTCTCTCTAACCTGGCAAGCTAGCTTTTTGCTCCCAGGGGAGGCGAGTTATGCAAATGCAGCTCCTTCGGGGCCTGGCCCTGTTTGTTGCATTTTCTTGGGCCAAAAGGTGCTGGTCCGCTGATTCGCTGGTTTTTGGCAAATGCCGTGAAAATAGTTCACTGTCCGCCTAAGCAATCGAAGCCATCAAAAGGGGCTCACTGATCATTGGCCAAGGAAGTGTGCAGTCGGTGAAAACGTACTAATGAAAACTAGAACTGGGATTTCGTAGTTTTTACGAGGAAATACCTTCATCTATGTATGCATGGGTTTACGTCCTCCTTTTTTTATTGAAGCCTTGCATTTGCCATGTGCCATGTGTAAAATCGACAAATAATGGATGCCTCGGTGTGTGCGGTGCTTGAAAAGCGCATTTGAATATCAATTCAATTGAATTCTTTGTGCAGTAGCTGCGGCTGAGTCTGGAGCTGAGGCGTCTCCAGCTGAGGATGCTGGGCGCATATTTCCTTGTGGCCGTGGCGCTGCCTTCGGCATCCTGGCAATATACATTCCCCACAGCGTTATGCAAAGGAATTCTTAATGTGCGAATGGGAGTCCGGGGTGCACCCGCCACCTTATGTGCAATAAATTGCAGCGAAAAATGTTGCATACTTTCTGGCCATGTCGACAGGAATTTCAGCTCAACTTTAACCCGTTGTTTTACCTTCGCTTTCGCTCAGATTGCAGTTAATGAAAAATGTTTCGCATTTAATCTTCAGCCTAATATTGCAGAGTTAATTCCCTTCGAGTAGATAAACGGATTTACTTGCTAAAACCGAATAGAAAATTGCCATTAATTAGCGCAGCTCAAATCAACCGGAGCGGGTGCACTTACTTTTGTATTAGCCTGAATGCTCTATATGCTCATACATTCGAAATAAATTATTCTGCTCACTCATCAGCATTTTGCGCTGTTATAAACACGTTTTTAATTAAAATTGCAAAAACAGGAAAAACACACATAGACCCGGCAATAAAAGCAAACAGAGCGAACCACATTCAGACACACGAGCCTGTGGGTCTCTAACTGATTGGGGAGTCCGTTTGCGGAAAAAATATGATGGCAGCAACTTCAATTAGCACAAAATAAAAGGCAATTCGAAGCAGAACAAAGCCAGCAGCGGCAGCAAAGTCACAAACAGACAGAGGCCCACTTGTGCCAGGAGAGATGGCACGAGGCGAAGGAACAGAGGAAGGAATTCTAGATGCCACACAAAGAGGCGCAACAGTTTTAGCAATAAAATGGCAAACACGTAAACATCGGTGCCTGATAAATGTGCGTGCAACAAAAGCCAGAATCCTGTACACAGGGAGAAAGTATAGAGTATTTTTTACAGACCCACCATTTCGAAATTTGAATTTTTTAATAATTCTGTACAAGTATTAAAAAGTAAAAATGTAACAGGGGTTTTTTTAATCTGGTGCAATATTTATTGACAAAATATATTTTCTTTTTACGTGCATTTGAACATATCATCGACCTTCATCATTTCCACCATACGTTAATGAACTGGCAATCCCGCATCGCGTATACGCCCCATCCCCTAGTAGTCATTATGATTCGCATTCACATTCAGTTTGCTATTCAGCCGGCATCACTCCTTGTGTGAATGCGATACATATGTATATGAAATACTAAATAAATACAGGCGCTGGTGTAGGTGGTTCCCTAAAAGCTTTGCCACTTAGCGGCGACAGGTTATACAAATTGAATCAAAAAGAAATTGTTTACAATTTATGCTTGCTTTTCAAATCACGGCAAGTTAAGAATAAAAATACAAATTCTATTCAAATGGTGGTCACACACACTCACAAGGAGATTGGCATATATGTGCGAGAGTGTGTGTGGAAATTGGTAACATTTTAACCCCTCACGTGCCAGGAATGAATTGGGAGAGTCCCAAGCAAAGCCATCGGAATTGTCCTCACGTCTAGACATAATTTCTTCAATCATTTATTACCTAATTAAGTGGAAGTATAAATGCCAAACTCAGCCACCCAGGCAGAGGGTGGGCGTGGCAGATCGAGGCAGGAGGGGCAGCACTCAAGCTCCTCTGGCCTGTTTGGCCCGAGCTCGTGTTATTTTCATTCTCTTCTGGGCCACCGCCTTTTGTATGCGAATTAACTGGCAAAATTCCAATGATTGACCTTACTCTTTGTGTTCCGAGGATGGGCGTGTAGCCAGTGTGTGTGTTCTTTTCTGGGTGTGTTTGTTGGTGTGGAGTGCACTGGAGTGGCTCCCTGGGAACTTGAGTTTAAGCCATGAAACGGCGTTGCCTTGAGCAAGTGTCTTTGTCTTCGGCTCATCTTTTGTTCCATGCCCGAGCACATACAAAGCCATTGTGTGGTTGGCTTTTCTTTTCAGCTCGTTTCAGTTTGTTTTGCTTTGCTTTTGCTGGTACCGCCTTTTGGCCTTGTTTACTGTGTATGTATGTATATGTAAGCAGTATGTGTGTGTTTGTGAGCAGGTCTTCTCTCATTGTATCCTGTATCTTCCCAACATGGCTTGGCATTGTTCTCTTCCTGGCTTTGTTCTTTTCGATAGTGTCACATACTTAGTTGCCGATCGCTGGAGGTCAAGAATAAAAGAGCATTTTTTCATACTGCAATACCGTCCTGCAAAAGAAACCGATTCCAATAACCCAAATAACAAATATACACTCTGTTTTACTTTCTATATCTTGTTTTCTTTATTTTCTGCTGTTGCTGTTGTTGCTCTTCTCTTTCACTTACATTGTTTTGTTACAAACATGCCTTGCTTTATTCCATAATTAAGATTTATATTTAAGTTTATCCATGTACCTCGATCTGCTTGTATACGCTAACATGAAGCCACACACTTACATATTCCTAACATATCGTATATATTACTTGCTTTAGGTTTCAACTTACAGCTTGTTCTGTATTTTTTAATTTTATGTGTGGCTTGCTTTTTGTATTCCTCATGCATAATTCTCGGAGCTGCCGTCTTAATGTTTTTCATTATTATGCCTTTGCTTTTCAAACTTATATTCGTAATACGTATCCTTGCTACGGATTGCTATTTGAGTGCTGGTTTGCTGTTTCCTGCTTTTTACATTAGTGCGTCTATTTTGTAATTTTCCTTTCGTTTCCTATTCGCTTTCCACTTTACTTTAACGGTACTTTACATTGTAGCTACGCTTTGTCTGCACCCTGTAAGTTAGGGGTGGAGATGAACCAAGGACACCCGACGAAAACGATAAAGACATAGTTGCTGCTTCCCTTTTCAGTTTTTACTTGCAAGCCATCAAACGATATGGAACTAAATTTCGATCCCCCAAGGATTCTGCTAATTCCCCCCTCTATTTCACACCTCACACCTCTAAAAAACACCTAACTCCCGTTTGTTTCGCATCCGACAGCGGCCCTCTATATTATTTTTATGTTTTTTTTTTTTAATATTTTTTCGCTTTAAATTCGTCTAATATTTAGCTAGAAGTTTCTTAAGCAGGTTCCCAATAAACTTTACATTTAATAATTCTTTTTATTTCCATTAGTGTTACGGGTTAAAGCGTTGCTTCTCTAGAGACTATTAAAGTAGTTGTTTTAATGCTCGTCTAACGTTTTTATTTTACGCATATTGTATATTTATTTAATGTATACATATATATTTGTTTAGGGGTATATTTGACTTAGATATGCTGCGGTTAGTTCTTAATTCGTGTCAACAGTGTTATAATTTGCTTGGATAATCGATTGTTGTGTATATATTACATATCTCTTGTTTAACTGAAGCCAGGCTAGGGTCATGCCGGATATCGTATAGGTATAGGTAATCGCTAGTATATATATTCATACTTTTATATAAACAAAATACATATCGCCGAGTATATGCATTAAGGAAGACATTTTTTCATGATTGTGACCATTTTCAAAATATGCGCACATTCCTCACACGGTGTCACAAGGTATGCATTAAATGGTCAGGCTTAGGCTTAAGGTGTAACAGTGTATTAGTGTGTCAGAGTGTGTTGGTTCGTGTATCCTTGAAACACTCATTTCATATTCATAGATTTTCCATTCACTCTCAGTGTTGCTCTGTTGTCTCTACTATTTACAATAAATCTGGCTCCCCCTTTTTACATAATTTATTTTTTTAAGGCTTAACTAAAGTTCTGTTCGATTATATCATGAATTTAATTTTCCAAATTTTACCGTATTTCATAAAGTTGATCTAGGCTGTATTTTCTGCTATTGTATATCGTTGTAAACTTTAAGTATAAAGAAGTATATACAAAAGATTCGAGCATTCGAGGGACATTCATTGTAAGAAATTTCATCTTCTGTGTGTAAACTTGTTAGGTGTTCATATTGATATGTACTGGTTTAGTATTAATTACGTCAATTGATTTGAAAGTGGGACGATAGGGTATACTCTACATATAATTATGTACAGCGAACTGAAAGTGGGTAATCGTGGCAATGAAACCTGTTGAAACGAGGCGAGTTCACGGCCGATTGGGGGCCAATAAAATTGTGCCAATAATGGAAATGCATAACGCATAATTGATAATGAAACCGTAATTGTTTTCTCGCCGAACGGAAAACTATGAAATAAATTAACAGCATCGTTTGGCACACTCTCGCCACCGAATGTGAGTGTTAAATGAAAGTTCACTAGCCGGGCGGAAAGTTTCTGTTTGCTTTCCGCCTGAAAACGAGAAAAACAACGAAAACAAGGAAAACGCAGGCCTGCCGACATTAAAATGTAATTAAAAATCAGAAAGAGCGGTCATGGAATATCCTCGAGAGGCATTCACATTCTTTAACAGAGCAAACATTGTTAAGGCGGTTAATAATTCTTTTTAAATGAGGGTGGTGAGCACTTTAAAGAGCTTAAACATCAAACAATAAAGGCCATGCAACGAGTCTTAATTTTTAAAATGTTTTACTTCGTGTGAGTGTATAAGAGTGTGATTCTGATGGACCGACAGATATTTATATTGATTTATCGTACAAAACACTAGCTATAGTTCGAATACTTTACGGCTATCCCTTCTCCTCTATGTACAACTTGCCAAATCAAATTCAACTATCGAGTTCCTCTCAGTTATTTGCTAATAATATTATTATGTAGACAGCAGTTTTCCATTTCACATTTAGGTATACATTATAAAGATTAATCTAATTGAGTTCTAGGTTTATGTTCTAGTGTTATATTTTGTATATCTCATAATGCTTCACATACGTATCAAAAGAGACAGCATCACCGTCATCAAAGGTCAACAACAAAGCTTCACAAAAATCGCAGCTAAACACAGAACTAGCCCCTAAATGTATACAACACGTTTATGATTACGATTATGCTAGGCCACCAATACCTTCCATTTAGTTTAGTAGCTATTATAGTTATACATCGTATGTATTACCCAGCGCCCTTAGTTCCACCTTGCCCGCCCCTCACACATATCTATTACATACAGTTAAGCAATTGTCCTTGCCGTAATCCTTCAGCTATGCGGCTGTCATGTCGCCACATAGCTCATACGCATCGTTGTCCGGGTGGAGAGATAAGCCAGCGCGAGCATCGCCACGTACAGCAGCCGCTGGCAGCCGGCGAAGTTGGCCGGACCCGGACCCGGTCCATGACCACTCCGGGCCGCCGCACTCGTGCTCTCCGGCCAGACGACCTCGACTTCGGACATTTTGAAAATGCTCAGCAGTCGGTGGGATTGGAGTTCACTGTGCTCGTTATTGATTTGATGACTGATGGTTTTCAGAATCGCGGTGCACTCGTCCTGCAAATAGCCAGATAAGCGCAATGGTAGTCGATTGGATTATTAGAGAAAATGGATTTGCCGACAAACGTATTATACAGTGAGAAAAAAAAGTTCTTAGTTGGAGGATAAGTTCATGCTCCTCAAGTAATTGGGATCTAAACATCCTGATTTTTTCTATCTGCAAGAATGCTTCGCCCAAGGCATTTATACGAACCTTCTCCTTGCGCAACAGCTCAATATCCTTAAGTTTGCCGTCGTGCGGTAAGCGCGCTGCAATTATAATGTTCTCCTCCGTCATGTTGAACAACGTCAGGGTGCACTGCGTCTGGGCGGGTGGGGGAGAAACAGGACGAAATGCAATTAATACATTGCTAGCCGCACTTTATTATGAGCGCGTTCGACCGACGGCTTACCTGATTATCGATGTATGTGGTTACGTATTGCTGGAGGGCGCGCACGGCGTCCTGCACCCCCAGGTTCGTGTGGGGCCTCAGGAGTGCCTCGTCGGCGGCACTGTAGCCCAGGAGCAGGAAAACCCCACCTGCAAACAAAGCAGAAGCCGAAAGGTGGGGTTACAAAGAATGTAGCGAATGCAACATCAATTGCAGCTAACGTAATTTACTGCGGGTCGTGCACAAAAACGCACGCAAGTGCCATGTGGCAAGTGGACACGAGCCACGCAACCTTGCCGGTGCCACAATGGTTTTTTTTTTCCTTTTTTTTGTGTCAAATAAGCTCTGAAGTGGCTCTCCAGCTAAGGCGGTGCTCTTAAAAAGGTCTTTAAGGAACCCGGTTCAAGCTGCACTTGAAAATAAATCGGTTTTACATTTTTGTCCAGGTGGCCAAGAAGGGAATTCCATCAAACGGAAATAGTTTATACAAACTACGTACTACGTACGAAAATATATAACTTTTTTAATGTTATTAGGTAATTTTTTTAGTGCAGATTACTTCAACTAGGTGGACTGGCGCTAGCTGCCACAAAAATGCTGCAGCATTCCCGGACAACCCTGCTTCGTCATCGCCTGTCGCCGGCGATAATAGCTAAGTGCTTAACGCACAGCGAACCCGACACGGCACAGCCACCAGGATGTAGCTTGGTGGGCACGAAGGAGGCAGAAGGAATCTAAGGACTAAGAACTCGGCGACTTACCTGGAAGAATGTACTCCCCGAGCGGCGGCTTCATGCAGATGAAGCGTCCCGAGTAGCAGAGGCAGCGGCCGCGGAATGCCTGGTAGGCGGGGGAGGCATGGCTGTAGAAGGCGAGCGCGGTGCGGCATGGGGCGAATGGCACGCAGAGGGCGTGGCAGGTGAGGGTGAGTGAGTCGCCGCAGCTGCATAGCTCACTGCACTCGACATCATCCAAGGAGTAGATCTGAAAGAAGGGAAAGTGGCACTAACATTACGTATCCGCAACTAGCTGATAATTAAGAGATGGCTCGACAATAGCACAAACTAATTTAGCAGCGTATAAGTTATAATTTTCAATCTGCATTTCTATTTATAATTGTTTCGAATTCGGCCAGGCACGTGCAGTCCCACAATCGTGCACAACTTTGTTTGGTTTTCCATTCTATTTTTCTCCGGCTTAACTTTTCAGTTATGTAAATGCGCTAAAAGGCACTTTCTCAACTTTCCATATGAAATATTAATTTGCACTTATTTGGCTTTTCACCAGAATGCCATTCGAAAGCTTTAATAAATAAACTATATTTAATGGCTCTTTGTTTCGCTTCTGCCTGTCCATAATAGGATTGTGCTAATGCTCTAGATTTGGCAATAATTTACTTACCCGCTTGCTGCTGCCCTCCCGAATTAGTTGGTCGGATTGACGAGGACGTTGAACCACACAATTTCCTGTGGAAAAACAAAGGACAGAGAATCAATTTGGGATTCGAGTGCGAACGGAAACACCAACGCATAATTGATGGAATTATTCATCAAATAAATCTGCTCGCCCATTCATAAACCAGTTTAACACCTTCAATTAAACTTTATTTCCACTTTTATCCGTTAGTTGGCTTTAAGTGTTTGGTCTTGACTTTGCACAAAACCCACTAACAGACTGCCGTTCTCACAAAAGCGCTTTCGTGTCCTTTTTTTGAGCGTTATATTTTTGTGTTTGGTGGCAGGCAGTCAGTCAGGCGAGGGGACGTGTACTGGGGAGGTAGACAACGTACACAATGCTGGGACCCTGCCACTCATGGCCAAATAACGGATGTCCGCCACTCATGTGGAGCATTCATCATGTCATCAACGCCATTACGAGTTTTTCCTGGCCGGAGTTTACAAGTGAGGTGAGGGCGGAATTGGTTCCCCGTGTGTTTATGTGGCGAGAATTTGCACGTGCCCGGCCCTATCCCCCACGGGCACTCCTTAAGTCGACTTTTCCGCACTTAATTACTGCCAATGGACCTAGTTTCGGCACTTTAAACTGCAAAGATGCGACTTAACTAGAAACTGGGGGCTTGCCTTGCTTACTTACCAGAGTCCCTAGTTGGATGAAACTTTGGCTATAAACCTGACATAACTGGCACATAAATAATATAGACTAGCTCCACACACACTCTCAGCAACAATAGTTAAATATAGTTTTAAAATTTTCACCTCACTGCCCGAGCAAAATCAATTATAGATGAGAACCGAACAGGCTCGAACCTGGGACCAGCAACATTTCATGCAAAATTCAAGCCCAAATGTCCCAAGTGTCTAAATAATTACAACGGACGAGCTGACCACATGCCCGGGATGACTAACTGACTGACGGAGTGACTGACTAACTGGCAGCTGGACAGAGGACTGATGGACGAACGGGCAAACAAACAAAGTCATTTACATTTTTAATGATGTTTGTAAACACGTTTCGGCCCCAAACCAAATCCATTCTCCCCCGAGCCCGTGTGTGTGATAAATGACTGGACAATAAACGATGTCCTCTACTGGAGATTTTAAATAACGGAAGTATTATCACAATGCAGTCGAGTGATATGCGCCTGTTTGTTTGCCATTCAAAGCATAATCGGATTTGGCATGTACTAGGATCACAAGGCTCTCTCCGGCATTTCAGCGAACTTTTCAGGGGCTTGACCCAAAACACCCACACACCGTATAATATATGCCAAACAGACACACACCCATAATTGCCACATCAGCCGAAAGCAAACTCATTTCCGGTGAGTGATATGCGCTTGGGGGTGACCGATGCGGATACTGAATTTTATATGATTTGCGCACAAAATATTAAAATAATAATCACGGTCGGCGCTGAGTTATGCTTTCAATTAGCCAAAACAACCGCAGCCACCGCATCAATTATGTTGAAAACTTCGAAAACGGAAACGAAACCTGAATACATAAAAATGAGGATGTGCTGGGAGGGTGAGTTCTGTGCCGGCTAATTGTTATAAAGCTGTTTGGAAAGATGTGATGACCCATCAGAGACTTTCAACATTTTTTTTTTAAATATTTTATGGGTGACACATTAATGAAATGTACTCTGGGAGTTAGTCTTAGCGCATCTTTCATCAGCCCAGTTTATGGAGTATTTGTTCGTATTCCAATATTGTTGATTCGCAAACAACAGACACAGGATTAACACAAAGAAGTGATTGAGCCACAACTGGATTGGAGCCCTCCCCGCCCCAATTTGCAACTCAAAAGTCCAACTCGAAAAGTGACTCTGCCACAGGGAACTCCAATTTATTACCCACTTGCATTTACTTACTTGGCGGCTGAGTTGTTGTTGTGGTTGCCATTGTTGTGGTTGTTGTGGTTACCGGCTCCGTGATGCTGATGCCCACAAATTCAGTTGTTTCCCTTGGGTCAACGAAAATTACTGGATCATCGAAATCTACACTGCCGGAGTTGCTGCTGCCACGTCCCAAGCCCTGTCCCTTTCCGCCGTGGCCGCCATTTTTACGTCGACTGCCGTTACCGTTACCGTTAGCATTGCCATTGCCATGGCCGTGGCCGTTGCCGTTGCCATTTCCATTTCCGTGTCCATTGCCGTTGTGATAATCGTCATTTCCGCCATTTCCGCCGCTCTCGACGTTTACGCTGGGCAGCGGTATTGAATCGGGCGGATCGAGATAATTGTGTTCCACCGATGCTGGCTCTGATTTCTCCTTTGCCTGCCGCATTCGCCCAACATTTTCCCCGCAATTTGTTGTTTTCATTTTTATATATTTTTGTTTTTCATTTTTTTATTCAGTTCGGTTCGGTTTGGTTTGGTTTTGCGTTTCGTGGTTTTTCAATTTTTTCGTTTTCCGGTGTATGTTTTTTTGCATTTTGCATTTTTATTTATTTATTTGCATTTTTTGTGGTTTTTGCGGTTCATTGTTGCAATTGTTCGCAGTTATTGTTGTTGTGGATGATGCCACATGAAAGGGAGAGAGGAGATGTTAAAGAGTTTGAAAACGAATGCGGATATTTTTTCGGGAGCTGCGGATGAGGGGCGTGGGGCATGGTGGGTGGGGGTCTTAATCTTTTTGCTGCCCCGGTGGCAGCAAAGGCAGCCGTTGCTGCAGGTCAGGAATTGATTGCTTTGTCGGTTTGCCAACCCGAGGAACTGGGCCACAAGCAGAAACAGAAACAGAAATTTACCAGGACACCCAATAAGGATACACACTACCAAAAATATGATTAGGTTGGCAGGGAAAATTAATTTAAATTATTACTTTTAATAAAATAGAAACTAAAGGATCTGTCTAAGTAAATCGTGGTATGTAACAAATATGACACTTTTTTTAAAGTTTTGAATTTAAAATCCATGTAAAAGCTAGGACTTTTTTAGTTTTTTCGATAAATCTATTCTGGACAACGATTATTTCAAGTGCAGGATACCATAGTCCTGGCCGGAGCCCAAAATGCATAGCCGAGTGTGGACTTTGGTTTGACCTGGACTGTGTTGTGTGGCATATTGTCCGCTTTGGCGTTCGTCTCGGAACGCCCCCGTCGCCCCATTTGAGCCACTGATTGAGTGCTGATTGGAAAACAGAAAACGAACCGATGAACGGACAGACGGACAGTCGGACAGACGGAGAGCTGGAAACCAAACGGATTGATAGTAGTGGGTATGTTTGGGGGATTTGGAGCAGGTAACTGTTGTTGATGCTTGTTAAAATCGAGGAACAGGGGTGGGGGAGCAGGAAGGATAGGACAAATGGCCAAATGGGATGCCCACTAGTTGACCGCAGTGGGGCAATTAGTAGCCAAATGGGAGTATCCGACGCCTAAGTTGCCACTTACCGCAGGGAAGTCCGTGAAGATGTGCGTGGGCGGCTTCCTTTGCGTCTGCTTCGGTTGCAGGCTCGTTGTGGTCGTTCTTGTTGTCGTGGGCGGCGGCGGTGGTGGGGGCGGTGGTGCGCGTGTAGTTGTTGTCGTCGTCGTCGTTGTTGTTGTGGTGGTTGTCGTTGTTGTGGTGGTAAGGAAGCCGAGTTCGGCCAATCGCTTCATATGGAAATCTTTTTGAGCCTCAACTGTCAAAGTTCAAGATCGAGTTGTGGGGAGTTAATGAGAAAGCGACAAAATAATGGAAAACGTGTGTCTTTGCATGTTTTTAAGCATATTCGTTGTACTTACCCACACAAGGATTCATCCAGAGGAGCCGCCGCCATCCCACGCACTGGTAAAGGTGCTGGGGATCGGTTCCCTGGCAGGCACAGGTTGTCCTCAACATGGTGCCCAAAATCCCAATCATGGCGGTTCGACAGCCACTGGGTTTCCCAGCGCATTTTTTGGTGACGCTATCCACGGCGCAGGCCTGTTCATAATACTCTAGTTTCAGCCTGTAGAATAAAATAACAATAATTGAAAACTTTGGCTTTAAGATCACGCCCACTTTTTTCACAGTGTAGAGATAAGCTCACTCATAAAACCCAAGCTTCCAAAGTAAAACTCAAAGTGGCTGCCATTCCCATTGCCACCAAACGGTCAGTGTCTTCCCCATGTCTGTCATGGGCCAGTTACCTGCAGGCTCCTCTCTGGTTGCATGCCCCGTTCTGGGCGACTCTGGCAGCGTGATAAGTGTCCCGTTACCTGCACTGCAGGTCTCCATTTCACTCGCTCTTCTGAGATTGATGTCGACCAATTTGTGTTGGCATTACCCTCCGCATTCTGCTGCATTTCATCGTCTTAGGGCAGAATGCTGCCGCATTAGTGCAACTAAATTCATGAGGCCCAAGTCCCTGGCATTTGGACGAGATTTTTGGTCAAGTGCCAGGCAACGTATGCGTAATATTTCAATTGCAGATTATCGGACTCAAGGCGACGACTAGGGCATTCCTATCTAGACTGGAATCTGGACTTAATTATGGGTGCCCAATACAGGAGCATAGTACTAACGGATGTTTCAGTTGTATTCATTATTTAAAGGGATGTATTCTGTTTGCAATGAAACAGAATTCTATTTGGGTGTCTGCATCAATCTTCATTCAGGGCTTCTTGGTTTTTGCTTCTGCATATGTTCTTGAGGGAAAATATACAAAAATATAATGACGTCTTTCTTGCGGATTCTAGCATTTCAATCAGAGAAAATTTTCTGCAAAAAGTGGTTCAAGTTTTTGCCAAGTCACCTAAATGGATTTTCTTACGACTTTTTGGTTGCGTAATGCGTGGGGTTTTTGTGCAGAAAGAAGTCCTTTTACTTGCAGCCAACGAAATGCAGTTTAAGACATCAGAGTCGCAACTTCGATGGCAGCCAAATAAACGAGCATTCAGTTGGATGGAAGCCCCACCCTTTTCCCTTCCGAAATAGCAGGGCCGTGCGCCACCCGGCCTGCACGTTTGCGACAGGCTCGGGGCACGTGTTGGTGCACAACGCGTCGTTTACGTAATAAGTCAACATAAGCACTCGACACAGAGAGCCACACGTTGTTGGCCATGTTGTTAGAACTTCTCCGGGGGCCCGACTTCTGGCCCTTTTCACCCGGCTCTGAAGGCCTGGCTGCAGCATACAAAATGAGCGTCATTAGTCCAATTTAGTTGTTTACCAAAGCAAGTGCGATTCACTTAAAAGGCAATTAATTTTCACAGCCACAGCTACGACCACGTACTTTGCGGTCGTTCAGCCGTAACACGACAACAAACACACCTCACCCTACACGGTGCACCACCCACACACCGCCCCACCCATTTAGCACCACACACTCCTCCGAGGCAGCATATGCATCCTGGTCGGAGGTTTTGAGCAAGTTTGAGCCAGACAAGTGGCTCGAGGGTGCAGCATCGTATTTATAACTTAACTTTGTGTTTGACACATTCACGCGGTCTCTGTGTTGCTGCAACTTTGGCTTCCTGGCCTGGTCTGGTCTGGTCGGGTCTGGCTAAATGAAGAGCTAAAGCTGCTAGCTGCTAGCTGCCTTCTGCAAACTGGTAATTTTATGCCCCGCTTCCTCGAAACTACTACAAGTATGGAAGCATTTTTGGAGTGCCCTGTCTCCCGTGGAGTCGTGTCGATTTAACGAGTTCAGCTGAGTGCCATCAAAGTTGCGGCTTTCAGCGACTTTGCCGTGGCTAAACGCTCCTAATTCAATATCAGCGAGCGTGAGACCGAGTCTCTGAAATTCAATTTTCCCTAATTGAATTGGCAGCACAGGATGACAAATAAGACGCAGGGATGTGTGGGCTAGAAGTTTGGGGCCATTTTATTAGGAGAAGCCAAGTGGAATAATATTCAAATAAACTGCTAGATGTTGGAGTTGATTAGCAGCAACTTAGCACTTCCATTTTTGCTTTGGCATTAAAGTTAAAACATTCGCTTATTAAAAACCATCTATAATTTGTGGGAAATATTCACACATACGCATACGCATTGGACACATTGTATCGCCCATGTTTCCGGTTCCGTTTAAAGCGCAACCACCACTACTCGTTCGCCCCTGCTTAATAGGGCCCGAATCGGTTGTCGCTTGTGAATTATGACCCCTGAATCCTTTGAACCCACCTGCACTCGCGATCCTCCTTGCAGCTGTCGGCGACCACATGACAGGCGGGCGGCGGATGGTAATAAATGCCGTTGGAGCTGGCCGGATTACTGTTATCTGGCGGCCGCTGGGCGCACACGGGATGCAGTTTTTCCTGTGCAATCATGCACATGTCGTGCCGATTGCCGTTCTGCTGGCTGCTGCTGCCGCCGCTCCCAATGCCGCTGCTTGTTTTTCTGCCACGATAGAAGGGGGAGAGGTTGTTGGGTTTTTGGGGTTGCGGAAGGAGACTGCACTGGTCAGCCACTTACTTGCATAGACAAAAGGCGATGTCCAGATTGAGGTCCTCGTGGGGACCCTTGTAGAAGGCCTGCAGAGAGGACATGCACGCGTTGCGATTGCATCGGTGCATTTCGCAGTGCATCAGCATCGGCTGCAGGGACGACGAACAGGACGGATCTTCCCGGCAAGTGTCCAATGCTGTGTGACAGGTACTCTACGGGGATTATGAACACGTTAAGAAAATTTTTAAAGAGATTTGATAAATTTGGCTAATATTTTAAATAGATTTCTGTATAAATAGGTTTTGAATTAACAAACATTGACTTTCAAATAAAATCTTAAAGATTTATAGCAATTTCCAAGTTTCCGTTTTAATTGCCCTTAAATTTGGTCTTCGAATTTTATTTGCAGTGTAGCCACAAATGCAGCAAATTGTGCGAGCTGCACTTTGCATTGTTCATGCGTTTTTCCAGAGTGTGTGTAAAAAGGGGCGGTAGGGAGGACTTTCTTCGGACTCACCTGAAAGTGTTGCTTGATTATTTCCGTTGAGAGGTCAACTTCGACATCCTGACCACCTGACCAACCAAACGGCCAGAACGTGCCCAAGTGTGTCAGTCGCATTTGCATTTGCATTCGGCCATTGCAGTTTTGTAGTTTTCAGTTTGCAGTTTGCATTTTCACCGAGAAAATGTTACCCAGAGGAGTTGAATTTGGTTCGATTGGGGATTTATCGTTTGGTTTTAGTAGGTGACCGCAGCGGGGTTGTGGGATGCGTAGAGAAAATGTTTGAAATAGTTCATTAGTTTTCAATTTGTGCAGCCCGTTTTCCAGCATATTCGATTCGATTTCGACGTGAATGCGGATCTGTTAGATTTGGCGCCCGAGCCCCAAACCCATGCCATATAATTGACGAAAAAAAGGGAAACAATTGTCGCCTTTCGCCAACCAACTCGGTGAACTGCATTAGCGTTCAGGCCTAATTCGATTTGGTTTAGCTCAATCATCCAGCTGTTTGTTGAAATGAATTGTAAAATCAGTGATTACGCCAATCGAGAGTGGATTGCATTTGGTATAACTAATTAAAATTCTAAACTCATTGACGGCCGCCTTTGTTTGCGCATAGTTGCCGGTGGATGGCCCTAATTGGCTTCATTTATTTAAATCCGTTTTTGGGCTTTATTTGTCCAATTCACTCTCAATTGGCTTATTTATTTATGGCGCTCAGGTACAGTTTAAACACAGATCCTTGTTTAATGGATGGCATTTAATACGCTCCGATTATAGTGCCTTTGGGGCCTAATCACAACTCAATTACTTTTTTTGTGCGGATGTGTGCGGTGTATCGACCAAATTGAAATGTAGTTGGCTGGCTCGGGTGACAGATGCTATCGATTGCATATTAATTAACCAACTTTTTGTCCGCTTTTCAGTTTCAATTGGTAATCACAGAGCGTGATTCAAATACGTATCCCATATATCCCCTCATTTCCCGAGCGAAAAATTATGGAAATTATGAAATCAAAACAACTAAAATTCACATAAATAACGTAAACTAAATGCAAATATTCCACAAATTTGTTTATTGCCTAATTCTGGATCCAGGGAGTTGAGAGATATCGAGAGTGAGAGTCAATTATGGGAGAGTCGGGGTATTACTTTCAACTGGTTTTGGGGCGTGGTCGCAGGGACTGCAGGGCTGGCAAAACACAACTAAGTTCTATATACTTATGTTCTATATATGTATATATTATGAGAGGTAGACTTATTTATTTATTGGATTTGACTTTAAAACTAGCAAGCCTACTGATAAAAATATTCTGTATTTTGGGGATCGACAACAGTATTCTAAAGATAGACTGTATTCCTGTGTTTTTGTGTGTGGGCCGGTGTATTTATAGGTTTGTATGATTTATGTTTGGATATACTAAGGTCCCAGCTCGGGCTCTATGGCTCATGATATTATGAATATTTTTAGAGTTCTGGCGACTGTGAAAATGTTGTACTTTTTGGCATTTTTTATTCGGCTTTTGTACTTGGTGTGTGTGTTTTTAGCGGGTCTTTGTAAAAGAAAACATTAATTCATCGTGGCAGACTCGGCAGAAACGCAATAAATAAGGAGCAGTAACACATGTAAACACAAATAATTCACTTTGAAACGATACAAGGAATAAGCCATAAGTATAATCGAGCAGGGGACTTAATCATGTTTTTAATTCTGTTCGGGCTTCGAATATTTATTTTCTTTGTGTAAGAGTTCATCTTTGATGCCTTTGAAGTGGAGAGGTTTAGATCTCTTTGTATGAAACAATGAAATATCGATGTCAGTGATGAATGTTTATACATGGGACAAATGAATCAAATGATTGAAGAGGCTTTAATTCATGACTGGGATCTCAAAAAGTTTGATCGAAAACATTATAGTTTTTGATTTTATTAATTATGGGTTTTGTTGAAAATGTTTATGTTTTTGATTCAAAAACTGGGTGCTTTGGAAAAAATTTGAAAAAGTGTGCTTGAATTGAATATAACAAAATTTTTTTTGTTTTCTTTTTGTTTAGAATATATATTTTAGGAGGAACTTAATGAATTTTGTTTAGATTTTGGTTTTTTTTAGGGTTTTCATTTTGCTCACATAACGTAAGAAAGAGTTAGTATCGAAAATATACACAATTGGTTTATAAATGTCAATTTTGTTAGAATTTTCGGTTTAATTTTCATTAGTTGGTAAACAAAATGACAAACAAAATTCATAGAAAAGGATTGTTTTGTTTAAACGCATTGGAAGCAAATTGTTTGTTTAAGATTTTTGTTTTTGGTATATTTTTGTAAGAAAATTTCAAAAACTTTCAAAACAAATGGCAAGCTACGAAAAAGAATCGAAACATAAAAGCAGTTTGACAAAGTTCGAGATATGTAAATATTTATATATGTATAGAAATTGTAATGTATACATTTTGATTTTCGTTAAAACCAAACAGAACCGTTTCCACAATTGTCTTATAAAGGTAGAGCAAATGCCAAAAATTATGCACAAAGCCAGGAGGCGATCGGATTGCGCCCAGTTGTAGTTTTGTATTTATAATTCACCTGCTGACTGGTTTTTTTTTAATTCAAACACAAAAGCAAAAATGTCAAAAAAACTCGATTTGTTTCCACTTAAAAAATTGAACCTGCAACACGGGGTGGATTTTGTTACAGGGGGACGACACAAAAACGGAAATCATAAATAAATTCACAGAAAAATCTATCTAAATGGTGAGCCAACGAACGAACAAATGAACAAACGAACTTTTTGCCTGTTAATTAGTTCTAGGATGTTGCACACACACGCTTCTCATGTTATTTACTTTTTTCGAGAGTGTGTGCGTGGGTTGCTGCATTTTAAATTTATTTTTAATATATATGGTATATTTTTTGCTTGCTCGGTTGGTTAGTTGGTTGGTTTGTTTGGTTTGGTCTGGTCTGGTTTCTGTAATTATTTGTTTTGCCTATGCAGTGGTCGTGGATTTGTTATTTATGGATTTACGTTCATGCTAATACGTGTACACATACTTTGGTAGTAAACACCGGCATTTCCGTTTCCGCCGTAGCCGAAGCCCGTATCAATGATATCGAATGGTTCATTATCGACGGCAGCCGCCGCTGCCATGTGCCGCTGATGGAAGCCGCTTATATTGAACGGATAGCTGGGCACGCCGTGCATCGAGCCCGGATAGTTAAAGCTGCCGGACAGGTGGCCCAGGCCGGAGCCGGAAGTGGTCACCACGCCGGAACTGGACCCGTAGCCGGAGCCCATGGCTATAAGTGGCGTATCAATAAGGGCCAAATTATCATTGAAGATTCTCTGATGCAGTTTCTCGTCCATGCCCAATATTCTTACTGCAATTTGAGGTTAGCAAGAAGAGAAGATGGGTAGAATGTTGTAGTTGTTTGTTGTTTCTTGTTAGCTGTATTGGATTGGGTTATTGTTGTAGTTTGGATTGATATTATGGTTGTTGTATTGGTTATTATGGTTGTTGCGTTCTTGTTCAGTGCTTCATCTATTTTGGCTGTTATAGTTGCTATTCTTGTTATTATTGTAGGCTGTAGTTGTCGCTAGGCAGCGTTTTGAGTTGTCCAATCAGAATCACATTTTTTTTTTGTAGCTTTTGACTTTCTTACAATCAATTTTACTAATAATGGTAAAAACTTTTATACTGTTATGGTAGATTACAACAAAAATACACACTGGAAACGAAAACTGTAGGAACTCAAACAATAATTACTTTTACATATTTTTCGGGAAAAAAAATGATTTTAAAAAATACAAGACAGATTTCGAACGAAAGTAGAGAAAAAATTGAACAAACATACATAGAGGAAATTGTGCGGAGTCGGTGCCAACAATTATCGTTTAAAATTAGTGCAGGAGTAAAAGGACGCAGGACAACGAGCAAAACGTTTTGCATTGAACGGGAATCCATTGAAGGTTTAGCGTGCCGCCACGCTTCGATTGCTCCTCGCTATCAATGGCAAAACATAAACAGGACGACAAACAGGACATCACACCGGAGCGTTTCTCTGTCTTCTCCGTCTCTGCACTCCTGCGTGGGTGTTCCTGTGTGTATCTATGGGGGATGTGCGTCTGTCAAATGTCATGCACTGATAGAGCGAGCAAATGGCTGAACGGTTTGAAACCGCAGAGAAACAGCATCTCCGCTTGTGCACTCGGAAAATTGGCAAGAAGGAAAATTGAGCATACCTTGTAAGTACCAGCTACTGGTAAGATTTAAAAAAATTTATTAAATTTTGAATATTCATTTCCTTTATATGTAGCCTAAAAAGGCTATTATTATTAATGCATTCCGAAGAACTATATTCCAAAATGTATTAAAATATGATGTTTACGGTTCATGATTTTAAATTTTCAAAAACTATCAAGAAAAATATATGTATATTTTACTTGTTTTTTTGCCAGTGTGGCTTTTGCTTATCTCACCGAGAGCACGCTGAAGTGCGCTTCATTTGCGGCGTGTGGCAAAGCTCAAAGGATGCCAATCCCAATCCGAGCCCCAGCGGCAGTCCATGCCCATTTCCAGACCCAGCGCCATTTCCATCAACATCGCAGACGGCAGCCGTGGCGGGTCAACTGGTGGCGCTAAATGGCCAAGGATTTGCCAGGAGACGTGCTACGTATTTATGTTTGTCGTTCGCATTGCCAGCAAATATTTGCACAGCAAACAGGCGGAGACAGCGCTGGGGAGGAGGAGTGCAGAGGAGCTGTCTTCGGGGTGGCTCAGAATGGGATTAGCTCAGTTTGTTAACTGTTATCGCGCTTGTAAGCTCCTGTCGTCGAGTGGATCTGTGTCATCTAATTGTTGCCCCGTTGTTTCAAATACAAAACGTTTCAGTTGCACTTAAATTCAGATTGCATGCCATTTCACGTTTAACCGAAAAGCGAAAAGCTAACATCAGAATGTGTGGTGCCCGTTAAAGGCATTTTGCCTTCTACATACGAGTGTATCTATTAAATAAACGAAGATATACAGATACGAGCAGAGATAGTGTGATATGGTCGGAGTGCGCGAAACTCGTAAACAATGGATATAAATTTTAAGAATGTGCAATAATTTCAAAATTACATTGTGGCTTTCAGGGCGTCGGAAATGTGTGAGGTAACGACTGCCATATCAAATGGCCGAACGAACACCCATCCGTGGTTTTCATGCCCTAATTGGGAAAGCTGGGAGCAGCTGCATTGTGCCACACATCCAGACACACACAGGCATGCAAGGGCGAGGTGTTTGGTGTTGTGGTGCATTGGCATGGCGGCGGGTTTTGTGGCATCAACGTCGTCGCCGCTCTGTGCTACTTCTAAGTGGATTGTACAATATTATGAAAATATTTATTACACGCAAACATCGCCTGGTAAGCGTATCCCTTGTACTGTGAGTATATGAATATGTATGTGCTTTCGTGGGCGGTGGTGCTTAGTGGGGGCTGAGTGGGTGGGTGGTGTAGGGTTTTGAAGTGGTGTAGGTGCTCTATTTTGTTGTTGGCGCAGTGCTGACAAATCGCTTTATTTGCTTTTTAGTTGTGCTTAATTAAATTTTGAAATTCAACGCCGAGCTTAATTTTTCTAAACGCTACTCATTGGTTGTGGGTTGTTTGGGGCAATTGGTACTGTAGGACGGCAGGAATCTCAAGAATGAAAAATCTTTAAGATTGCATTAGAGAGTTAGTGCCTTAAAAAGGCCTTTTTAGAGCTGACTTTTTTGATAACCTAAGCCTATAAATCACAAATAACTGGAGGTACGAAAACAAACGATTCTGGAAGCATAAATAACTTCTGTGTTTATTTATTGGCATTCGGCATTGTTGCTTTGTTTAGTAGGGATATTGTTTTTGATGCCATTCTGAAAATTTAAAGCCCTCCAGGCCATTGACAATGTTTGTGCTTTGCATTTGAGAATCCAATCAGCAACAATAACAATTCAATTTAAAATTTTGCCTCCAACATACATGAATGTGTGTATAAAAATATATGAACATAGCCTTTGGCTTTGAAGTAAAATATTTATATGCGTATCTCCATAGTTTTGGATGCGCGTCAAAAATCTGATAGTAGGGCTTTATGTTGAGGGCTTATTGTTGGCTAGGCTGCTGCTGTTAATTTACTGGGTGTCCCATCATAAACGTAAATAAGGCATGTGTGCGCTTGACGTGCATAAATAGTTTGCTAATATTTGCCCCAGTCCCACGTCCCATTGCAGCCAGCAGCTGCAACAATAGACAAAAGCTGCAGCATTTGCAGCTGCATCACAATGCAGGCTGCTGGGAATTTATAACTTTGCCGAACAGATTGCACAAAACATCATCATCGATGATGATAGACGGCCCGGGCGTCAAATGGCAAGTGAAATTTGTGGCAATAAATAAAAAGGACAGGCAGGCGCCGAAAAATCAAAAATGGAACGACTTTGCATTAACAAGTGACTGCAGTTTTCTAATCATTATATTACTACAAGGCTGTCTATTAGAATACCCAAAGCCACAAGATCTCTGTCTCTGGCTTCGCTTTTGATGACGTGAAATGCTTATTTATGGCACTTGCGGGCCTGGCGAGTGTTTGCGTGTGTATCTGAGTGTCCATTCATTAAGCTGCAAATGATTGCCTGTGCAGATAGCTCATGCCATACAGCGAAGCTTACTCTCAACAAAGGGCCATGGCCACAACCACTGACCCATCGAGGCCCGGTTTGTTTGCAGGCCCTGTTTGTCTAATAAGCTCAGTGGAACAGAGAGGTTTTAACAATTGAGTGAGAGAGAGGAAAACAGTGTCTAAGAAAGAGAAAGAGTGCGTTTTGGGTCTCTAGGAATACTTACTTACGCGTCAATTGTCTTGATATCAGTGTAACCTTTTATTTGTTTCTCACTTGAGGTCCATGAATACTAAACGAAGTACCATATATCCCAGCTAGGATTCTGGGCCCCCAAATAATTAATAACTTATTAAAGAAAATAAATAATGTGAGTTCGGATCCATTCATCAAGTATTCCCTCAAAAATTAAATAAATAATAAAATATATAGCAGAATCTTATACACTTCCCTTTAGTTTATTACACATGCTCCCGAATGCAGTGCCAGGGGTTAAGCTTATTGTTAAAATAGTACAGTGAAGACTGGACAAGTGCAATGGGAAAACTCACCTCGTTCGTCCATCGTGGGCCCTGTGTACGTGCGGTGGGTTATGTCGCTGCCGGCAACTAAATCGCCGAGTGGTGCTGTTTTGTGCATTTTGGTGCCAGTGCTGAATAAATTGCAGAGTTGTACAGAAAATTAAGTGCAAATTGCGGAATATATGTGCGATTTATAGATACAGATTAGACAAATTAGATGGGCCAGAATAAGGTGCATTAGTGATGTTGCAAAGCAGATTTAGGATATTTATACAATTTATGTTTGTTTTTCGGGGAGGAGACAGGATGAGATAGGGGTAATGACTTAAGTTGGACATTAATCGACTGAAGTGAATGATGGGCAACAATGATGGCCAATTACCGCCATGCGAATGCATGAATCCTTTTCGGTCCTTGACAGCCTGGGAGGCATTATAAGTTAATTGTGTCCCTGAGCTCAGCTTAGAGTGCACTGGACTCGGCTCGACTCGGACTCATTTGAATATTTATTAAGATGAAATGCATTAAAATCAGATTACATAAATGCTCGACAAGTGCCCGGGGAGCCAAGCAACAGCAAAGAGCTCGCAAATCGTTCGACCGGCTGGGCAGGACGTCTGTTGATTTGTACTCTGCTTGTTTATTTGCCCAGTAGCTGCTTTTGCTGCTGGACTTATTCATTAGTTGGCTTTTTAACCGGAAATTGTGGCATACCCAAGTGAGTCAATTATTTTAAAAGCTTTTTGCATAAAGTTTTCAGTTGCCGGTAGCTTGCATTAGGTAGCTGGTAGCAGCAGCTCCTCGGTGGTTAAAAGTGGAATTAATGAAAGGCTGTATTTGTTAGAGGTTTCGGCTTGCATTCCTTTCAAAGCAATCACACATATGTGCACTGGGGACTATTAGGGATCAACTCTATTATTAGTTATTTATTTAATTGAAAGTTTTTTTCTGCGAGAAAAACTTTCGGAATAGTAAATTGTACTTTAATGCCATTAATTCATATTTCCTTGAGGAATATTGATCCCAGTTTTTGTAACTTTTTTCAGTGTGTATTAGGTAAACCTTTTGAAAAACTTTCCAGTCGAAGATGCCAACTTAAGTCGGGTGTTCAAAAACGGGAGTCGGGAGAGGTTTTAGAGTCCTAGGAAAATGAAGGCAAAATTATAAAGTTTCCAACTTGAATCCCTCCGCATACTTAGGTGGGCTGGGAATCGTGGGCGCTGGCGCTCCGACACCTCCCTCTCCTCCATGTCCCGATCCCGTGGAGATGGTGGTCAGATCCCCGTGCGTGTAGTAGGTGTGGGTGTGCGGATGGCCGTGGGAATGCGGCCCGGCATCCACCACCACCACCACATCGTGCTCCAGATTCTCGTGGCGAACTGGCGGTGGCTTCTTGTGGGCCACCTCTACGACCACATCGTCATCGTCGTCCAGAGTGTGCGGACTGTGGGAGGCCAAGACCAGCGGATTGTTGATGCCCCAGGACGGAGGATGGAGGTAGTGCGGATAGTTTGAATAAATTTCGGCCCGTATGCGGTCGTCATAATCGTCGTCCTCCTCCTCGTCGTCGTCGTCCTCGTTAGCCTCGTCACCCTCCTCCTCGTCCCCGGCTGCCTCTTGGTCCTCCGCCTCGCCGGGGGAATGCACTTCCATGTTGGGCTCATCATGGTACTCTATATTGTTGGACATGAGCTCCGTGCCATTGATGCCGCCGAAATGCTTCAGCTTTGGTTTTGGTTTCGGCTTGGGTCTCGCTTTCGGTTTTGGTCGCGGCTTTGCCTTTGGTCTCTGTTGCTTCAATTTTGGCAGACCGTTGGGGAAAAATATTAGTCTGTCTGCAATGTGGGCGAAAAAGGGGTGGGGCAGGTGCGTGTTCGTGCAGAAAAAACAAGAGAAATAAAGCAGAGAAAACATTTAGTGCCGAAAAGGTGCAATTGTTGCTGCTATTCGCTATTAAAATAAGTGTGTGCAACAGTGTGTCGGTGGGGTATTTAATTAGTGCAATTAGTGTACGCTTTTATACTCTATATAATACTGTTATATAATGTAATAAAAGCGGAGGGAATCATTCCGCTCTCGGGTGCTGTTAGTTAATCCATTAGTGCAGGTGGTGGCTGGGTGAAGTGGAAAATGAAATTATGCTTTAAAGAGTTTCTCTGGTGGTGGTCTGGCGTGGGAGAATCAAAGCTCTAGCCCTACTCCTTCCGAAAAACCAAAAATGTTTCAAAAATAACACCTCATACTGTGTATTCCTTTGAAAGTGTGTGTGTCTGGGTGATACAGTTAGTAGTTTTGGCTAAGGTTAGTCTTAGAGCTAGGGTTAGAGAGAGATATGGTAGTTCTAGAAGTGTTTATTTTTTTTGGTGCATTCAATCTAAAGCACAGACTCAGTTCGCTGGGTGGCGGCTTACTTTAGCAAGTGACTGTATGTAGTAATGGACTGGCTTACTGCTACGACAAACTTTGATAAGGTGACAGATAGAGCGAGAGAGAGAGGTATAGAGAGATAGAGAGAGATAGATTGCAGTGACTTGGAACACGGCAGCTTGGCTTACATTGATATACATTCGTATTCGTGATAGTTACTGATACTGAGCATAGCTAATATTCATATAGTATGGTATATATTGGATATATAGGCATAATTGGTTACTGATTACTGATCGCAGAACATGGGTATCGTTTTGGTTTGGGTTTTCTCTAGTTGGTTTTTATTTTTGATGCAGAAGCGTGCGATAGTTTAGTTTCTGGTTGTTTAGGTTACTTAAACGGTTAGGCTAGTTTCGGTTTTGAGCGTTTCACAAAAGTACACGAACCAAAGGCAAACCATATTGGAACTCAAAATCTCTGAACAAACAAAAGAAATCGGTTAAGAACAAATGAAACTAATTTTCGGTATAGACAGGTAAAGTGATTAACGTTTACCGTAGAAACACAAGAGCGTTCGATACCAGAAAGTTGACAGAGAAGGAGATTAGACATTTAAGAACACAGGACAATCAAAACGAAAAGAGATCTTTTTGTATGAACATAATTAAAACATATTTTTCCATGATTCTCAAAGCTTAGATTTGGCTTTGTGTTTTTTTTTACTCAGTTGTTTGTGTTGTTGCTTGTGGCAGTTTTTATTGTTGTTATAATAGCAGTAGCTGCTGTTGTTGTTTTGGTTGCAGTTGCAGTTGCAATGGTCACGGTCGCCAGTCGAAACTTACCCACACACGGATTGTGATTAACAATATTAAAGATACGATCACAGCGCTTTTTCATATGGTTGTTTGGGCAGATACACCCGAACATGGGCGATAGACGGAGGTTGGTCCAGGAATCGTGGCAGGCGTCCCTGAAACGAGAGCGATGATAGTTGCTTTTAAGCACTTTTCCACTTCCGCCTTCAGCAGCCAGCTCAATCGGGTCTAAACCACACCGATGTGGGCGGTCTTCGAGCCAACCGAGTGCCCGCCATCCCAGCTAATTGAATTCATTTCAAGTCCCTAACCGCCCGAACCGCCGGCGACTTCCGTTCTGAGGGCGGGAGTATGCAAACTTTAAAATTGCCAATTACATCAAAAATGCATACATATGTGCACTGCCCGAAAATATTTGAGTTATTTTTCAGAAGCGATTTGAATCTATTTTGATTCTGATTATGAATACTGTCTTTTGCAAATGAATAGAAAAATGCTAGGTTGTAACAAATGTTAATCTTCGAATATTAGGCTTTAGTAAATTTTACGTTTAATATACATAATTATGAAAATATAAAATATGGCTATAATTTTTTTTTAAACGAAACTTAAGTTATAAGTTATATAATAGTTATAAATAAAGTTATTACAAATCACCCGTCTAATGCAAAGCTTCTTCTATATGTTATATTAGTTTAAAGACGGTAAAATTTTATTATTCCATTAAATTAATATTTTTTGTGAAAGGTAATGAACTCTTTTTTTTGTTTGAGTGAGCCCGCATGGCGTTGCAATTAATATTTTATCGCATAGGTGGATCTCTCCACCCGGAACTGGAGTCAGACCCGAGCCGGGACCCAGACCCAGACCCAGACCCGCAGCCAGAATTCCTGGCATGCGTGTGTAAAGTTGTAGTGGCAGGGGGGAGTGGGACAACTTTAAGCCCAAGTTTCAAACTCTGAACTCTGAAGTCAACTGAACTCAACTCCCAGGTCCCAACTCGCAACTGCCGCCGCAGAAAGTCATTTCGAGTTATTAAAACATTCAGAACGTTTGTATCCAAGTGTATCGGGGCCAGACGGCGAAGGTTGCTGGATGGGTCCTGGGCTGGGTTTGAAAGGATGTGAAGGAAATCGCGTCAGTAAGGATATGTGATGGCTAAAGGAAGCAGCAAGATGCCGGCAAGCAGGAAGTTTCATTTCGCCTTCTGTTCGCTCAACTTGACTCCTGTTTACTCTGCTGTCTGCCGGTCCTGACGGTCCTGCCGAACGTTGTGTTTTTTGTGCCAATAAAATCGAATATCGAAATTGAATGTTGCGGGGTAGCGTTTTCCTCGAAATGTATGGAGTTCAGGTGGAGTCAAGACTGCTTTTTTCAGGCAAATTGCCAATGCAATTTGCCGTTGCCGTTGCCGTTAACCATTAAATGGCATGGCGGGCTGCAGCAAAAGCCAAATCAATTTTCTTATTAACTCAAACACGCTTTAATTGAATTTTCATTATTGGAATTGGTTATCGGTGAACGGACCGAAGTCCGAAGTCCCACTTTTTCCACTTTCATAATATGCTTGACACTTTAATCGCAAAACGGCAGCGACTGCCTGGAAACTGCGCTTTCAGCGATGATTACCATTATGGTAATAGGTTGGACATTTTAAGTGACTTGGATGTAGTTTTTCCCCACACGAAATTAAATAAATCTGGGTCAGTAACGCGGAAAGTATTATATTCATTAAACTTACCTGTTTTCCATTTTGCACTTGTTGTCACGAACTTTACAATGCGTTTTGAAGTCCTCGAAGAGCTTCAGGCATTTGCGTTCCTGCTGACAGACGGACAGAGCATGATTGCACGTGGGTAGTGCGTCTATGGGATACGGATCCTTTTCGGCTGTGGAACCATAAATGTTATTATATATTTTACTACAGGCTTGCTGTCCAAGCAACTCACCCTTCTTCAGCACAAATCCGCAGGGATGATCGAACAGGAAGTCCCGAAAATGATTGCAGTCGGGATCCATGCCGGGCTCTTTGCACAAACATGTTGGCCGGAAGAATTGGAAGGCCTGCAGGGTGCGAAGAGCTGCCTGGCACTTGGTCACTGTCACGGTGCTGCAGGACACTGGAAGAGGAAGAGAAGGAATGAGCAAAGTCTATACATTGAGTCCAACACGCTGTGGCAAGTGAGTGACAGTTGGATCCATTTTGGGGGATTGGAGCCCGGTTATGCTTAATGATCTATAAATGGCAGCAATGCTTAAACTTTGACACACACTGTCGTTTTGGTTCATTTTGGGAACTGCACATCGATTACGGTCTACATAAGTAAAGGCACTTGAAAAAAATTTGCGTCTCTCACATTTAAGTCTACCAAAAAATGAAAGTGCCCATTTTGACCATAAAACGTGGCAGATCGAAGCAAAGTTGTTGGTATATGATTAATTCTATTTTCAATACCCGTTCGACAAGTAATATTTCTCAGTGCAGGTGTGGACCATGACAGTCGTTATAAATGGCAGCCAGACAACTACAAACCAGACACATGTCATAATAAGAGCCGAGAGCGAACCTACAACAACTACAATATGAATAATTGAGTCTCCAAACAAAACGGTCGATTTAAGCGGCCAATGAAGCGAGGATATGGTCGGGATAGGAGGCCGGGGGATACGGATAATATTTTATAACATAATAAATTATGTTACACATATACCCACGTAAACCCATGCCCGAGCAGTGAGAAGTGAGTGTGTGACAGCTTATTGGAGCATATGACAACTACTACGACAAACAAAAGGCAAACATCTGTTGGCCATCTATTGTCCTTTTGGCCATAAAACATAAGCCCTACTAATAAACCCGGCTACGGCAACACTTCACAAATACAAGCAAGCCGTGACTGGCACGCACACAGACCCACACTCGCACACAGGAGGGACTCTCGTCATAAGCCGTAAAATCGCCAAAAAGCAAAACAAGCAAACTGCCAGGACAATGGGCTGCCCAGCATAATAGGAAGTGAGAGGCCAATGGCTACCGCCATGCCATGTGGTTCCCGTCACTCAAATGCCCTCCATCCCAGATTCAGTCCCCTTCTCCTGCGTGGCTCTCTTGCCCTTCTGTAACCCTTGTGATTGCCCCTCGACCTCCAATAACTCTCCTCTCATCCAATACAGACCGGACATGATTATTTGCTAGTTGAACATAAAGTTGCTTCCGCCAGGGATCCTCCCAGGGTACTAGGCCCTGGGCACTGGCCACTGGACTGGGTTGGGCAAACAACACATAGGAACATCGACAGAGCAACAAGTGACATTTTTCACAGGCATCCATCATTTTTATGCCCTTTGGCCTCGAAACCTTTTTGCTCTTCTGGTCTTGTTTTTTTGGTGAGCTGAGTTTTTGGGATTTTGGATTTTTGGTCTTTCGGTTTTTTTTTCCGGGAAGACCGTTCGGGTGTCAATTAAAACTCGTTGGTTGCTAGTGTTTCCAGTATCCTTTACAGTTCTTATTCCAGAGTGGAAAAAAACAATATTTTTCAATGTAAGAAGTTACAAAATCAGCGAGTTATCAATTTAGCTTTAATTTGTATTGGCATAAAATAGTGTATTAATCTCAAAGTGTGTTATAAAAAACCCAATTTGCAGGCTTTTCTTAAAGGATATTTTTACAATATAATTGGGTTAAATCGAGAATAAGCTACTATAAAAGCTATTTTGTTGAAAAATAAAAAAGATATGTTATATATTTTATATTATTGGATTTCACTTTAAAAACTTAATGAAGGGATAAGACTTTGTGAAATAAAAAAAAATGTCCTTTCCCTCTATAGCCCTTTTTTCTTTCTGTGTGAACAGTGCACTTGATGGCTGGGAAGGATAACTAGCTCCAGGGTCCTGATTCCCAGCTCCTGGCCTTCTCCCGCCTTGGGCTAGTGGCACCGTGGCACTGTGGCACCTGGCTTGGGTTCGTCATTGCATGCTGGGCAGTCATAAAAAATAAAGCCAAGGCGAGTGGTTTTTATGCTTCGCCGCCATCAACTGACGCCATTTGCTGTTTGTTGCTGCTGTTGGCCGTATATACATATATATTGTTTTTTTTTTCCACTGCCATTGCCGTTGCTGTTGCCGTCGCCATTGCCCTTGCCTTTTACTGTTATTGTTAAGTCCTCAATTCGTTTTTATTCGAACCGCGTTTCCGGTTGTTGAGTTGGTCGCTGAATTGGTTCAATGATTTCTTTGTTTGTTTGTAGCCGCCGCTCAGCTTTCTGCCTCGACATGTTGTGTGTGTTTGTGATTTTTTTTCGCTCTATGGTTTATTTGATTTTAGTTTGGTATTTGTTTTCGCCCCCCGTCTTGACCATTGTTTTATGATTTTTTTGGTTTTTTATGGCCGTCTGCAGACGAAATTTATGAGTCATTCGTTGTGTTAAGCCATTTAAAGACCTATTAATTATTATCGAGCGTATTAATTGCAACTGATTGTGCGCCGAAAGAATGTCCGCGTGGCCGTGCGGCACCTTATGCGGCCTTTTGTGTTTGAAATATTTCGGCCTGGCAGACTTCCTGGCCGGCAGACCGTCGGACACGGCTTCCTGGGACACATGTCCGTTGTGTCCATATTAAACTGTCGCATATTGCGTAGGGTAGGTGGTGTGTGTGTGTGTGTTAGCATGTCATTGTTGATTTTATTGAACTCTCGACAAGTGCCCCGTGGCTCAAAGTGAGTGCTCTGCTGTGCAGTGAGTTTTAAAACGGAAGTGGAATGCCGAAAAGTATGGCATGCAATGGCACGACCGATGCTGCTGCACTGGCGCCGGCTTCCGGCAAAGGAAAACTGAGCAAAAATATATTTATCGCCCAGCTGGGGCATCGAAGCTGCTTTTAAAGGCTTTCCCCGGTCGTGCCTGTGCATATGAGCTGCGGGGAAAAATCGGGGAAGTGTAGGTGGGCCAGCGAGGCGCGAGGAGCGAGCAGCGAGGAAAACCTGCATGAAATGCAATTATCATAAATATTCAGACACTGCTCCCTCCGACTGGGAGCCTCTTTAAGGCTCACATTCATATTTGGAGGACATTTAAAGGACAAAGCGACAGCTACAGCCATTAAACTGCACGGCTACGCGGCTACACGGCTAACAAAAAGTAATTTCACTTTTAAATGAAAAAGTTCAAAGTGCGTTTGTTTATGCCACACACACCGACACACACAGCCACACATGAGCGTCGGCCATAAAAACAAATGCCAAATGATTTTTGTTGGTGGCTCCGCCGTATGTTTGTACATTCAGAAGTGGCCTGGAAAAAATTGGACACTGGCCAGCAATTGTAATCGTAACTTTTTATTGTGATGCGTTGGCATTTGCAATCGAAATTGAATTGAGCAAGGGCTCGGGAGACGACAACAAATTCCATAAAATCACAAGACTTTTTCGGGCAATCAGAAACAAAATTAAAGACATTTACTTTATTTTGTTTATAATTTGTTTAATGGACCAACAGGCAGAGTGATTCCACACATAATAACGGATAACTAATCAATAATTCCAAAGACCCTAGCCTTGCTGAGGAAGTCCGTCCGCTGAACGTACGAACCGGACATGGTGCGACTACCCGTGTAGGCATGGCGCCCGTGAAGGACTCTCCAGTTGTCAAAAAGGACGATGCTGCCTGGATTAAGCTTCAGAGTCCATTGGTTCTCCTCGTCTCTTAACAGTTTCAAAAGTTTCCTAAGGCTTGCGTAGAAATCAGACATTTCCGTTTGGGGAATGGTATCGAAAACGGCTCGATCGTAGACATTGACACGGAGCTGCACGAGTTCCTCAGTCAGGGGGTCCACTTGGATAATGGGAGCCGTGTGACGATGGTGTTCGCCCTTCTCGATATACTCCCCCGGGACCTGAACGCGGCACAACGTCTTATAGGCATCGGGGTACAGGCGTTTCAGTTCGTGAACCACTCGCAGGCCGTCCACGAAAAAGTTCTCCCCTCCAGAGCCCCCGGAGTGTTCAATACAGTGCAGAGCTTGGAGACCGGCAGCATCACAGAAGTAGGTGTTATCAGTGTGCGATCCAAGATAAAGCTTGGTGTAGGCAGTATCAGCATGATCTGGCTTATCGCTGAAGGTCCACATTTTGCCGAAGAAGGTTTTCATCAAAGGAAAGACTCGCCGCAAAGCCAACTCCGTCATGTAAGGCGTGGGCGGCACATCATCGATGAAGATAATGCCGTAGCGAACCAAAGATTCCACCAGAGATTTCACGACATCCTCACTAGAGACCAGCTGAGGCAGCGAGAATCTCAAGTGCCGCTCGTTTTGAAAAATAATGCTGCGGTTCCAGGGCGTGAGATTGCTGGACTTTGAACGGCGACTTATCAAGCTCTCCAACTGGGACTCGAAAATAAAATCCAAGTCATAGCTTGATCGGTGGCCATCGCTCCCTAAAAAACATTTAAACTCGAACTGAATCCTTGCCTCAATCAAAATATCTTCACTTACACTTCACAATAAAGGTACTGCCTTCGTACTTTGACTCTAGCAACTTGACATCCGATGGCAAGTCCAGGAGATCGATCCTCCGCTGATTTGTATCCAAATTAAGACACTCCCCACACCGACAGTGATCACGTAGCCAAAACTTATTTAGTTCCAGGCTTTTGCCGGTTTCGGGGTGCTTTAAGATCAGCATCTTTAAGTACAAGCTTGTAGATTGAGGGACGAAAGTAAACTGATCTCCCAAGAAGAGATTAAGTCCCCGTCTTCGAGTTGTTTTAAATCTTATCAATAATTGTAAGATTTTTTGTTGGCTAGGCCACAGCTGGGTTTTTGATAAGGCTTTGCTCACAGTTTGAGTTCAATAAAATGAACAACACCAAATTAAACAATCAATCAACAATAGTACATCACCGATAGACCCTAATTTAATGTGATTTTGGTTAATCTTACTTACAACACTAGGAGCTTACAACACTAATAAAATATACTAGGGTGCCACAGAAAATATTAGTGATTTGGTGAAATTTCAAGCGCCGAAGCGCTTAAAGATTTTGGACCCATAGGGTGTATGTTGTAAAAGCTGCCAGATTGCATATTTAAAAAACTATTTTTTGGTTGTTGTTAATTTGAATTATTGAATAGTGAAAAAAATTGATGAAAATGAAATTCAATGAAAAATTTAATTTATAATGAAGAGGTAAACATTAATTTTAGCTTTGTTTAATACAATTAATATTTTCAATCTTTTACTCCAAATTCTGACTAAAAAAAGAGGTATTACCGTAACTCAAAATCACTTTCAAAACTCTTAAATTATTTGTCCTATTCAGTGGCGGATTTAACAGGTGGGCAAAGGCGCGCTTGCCCACTGGGCCCCCCGACGAAAGGCTTTCAGGGCATCTCTTGCTGAAAGTTATACCTTCGATTTCTTTTTATTTATTTTTTTGTTGAAAAAATTTATCATCAGTATATCAGTATATCAGTAGTATGTTATCAGTATAGTTGCAATGCTTGATAACTATCGTAAATTGAATATAAAAATTGAAAAAATGATTTGGTGAGTCTCTTGTGGACAGCACAAGTTCAATTTTCATTCAGGGGCACACTGTTATCAGAATAATTGCAATGCTTGATAACTATCGTAAATTGAATATAAAATCAAATAAATTTTGGGTGCGATCCTAGAATAGGGGCCCCCAGCGTATTTTCGGCAATTTTTGGTATTTTCGGCAAAATTTGGGGTTGATCGAATAGGGGAAAGCCTGAGCTAACGACGTAGGCCCAAAAAAACCGATTGCGATCATTCCTTACCTTGTAATTTACGGTTATGTCCGGCAATGTCGGGGGTAATTTTTTTCCATATTACGGCGTCGATATTAAACGTTTTGTAAGGTTTTCCGACAGGAAAAGCAGCTCGACGGCAAGAACCAATCCCAATGATTGCATTTATCACTTTACTCATTTATTGCCGGGGCAAAAACGAGAAATATCCAACTTTTTTTTACAACTGCCTTGAAGTATGAGTTAATCAGTTTTGCGGATATATATTTCTCACAAGAACAAGATTTTACCAAGCGTAGTCCATTGCAATATTTTAACTTCATCGTTGAAAAAAATTGGGGCCCTGAAAAAATTTTGCCCACTGGGCTTTTTTCCTTAAATCCGCCACTGGTCCTACTGTATAACAGGCAATGGACTCACTACTTTTAACTAGATTTTACCAAACACTAGCAAGATTGTTGGTGTTTTTCAAATCACCCAAAACAGAAATTCAAGCGAAGTTTGAGTGAAAGTGTTTTATGTGGTGCCCCTAACAGGCATTTTTATTTTTGTTTCATATTTGATTTCAAAACACATTTTGAGTCTCAGTGACGGAGGGTGTTGCTTCGAACACCAAATAAAATTCGATAATTCGAAATTTGGTAAAAATAGTTTTCGTTAAATTGTTAATTGTTCGAATTATGGGAATACTTCCTATGTTATAATAAACAACATAACAAACCAATAGTAATTTTTACTAAATTAAATGATCAAAGGGCCCTTGAGTAAAAATTCAAAAACGATACCTTATCGCAGCAGGTCGCCCTAAAAAATTCAGAGATATAACTCGCATTGCATTGTTTTCGCCAAAAAGTAAATAGAAAATCCCTCGAAAATGAAGCCCTTTAAGACCTCCTGGGCGGACGAAGTGGAGGCGGACTATGTGGACGGTCTGCCGCCTTCTAGTGAGTACGTCGAGGGCGACTACAAGTACGTGACGGAGTACAAGTTCAACGACGACGGCAAGAAGGTGAAAGTGGTGCGCACCTTTAAGATTGAAAAGAAGGTGGTCTCCAAGGCGGTGGCCCGACGACGTGGCTGGGTGAAGTTCGGGGACTCTCGACTGGACAAGCCGGGACCCAATTCGCAGACGACCATGGCCTCGGAGGAGATCTTCATGCTCTTCATGGGCTCCAAGGAGTTCGAGCAGACGCACGAGACCCAGATGGACGCCGGCAAAAATATTGCCAAGTGTCGAATCTGCAACGGCGAGCACTGGAGTGTGAATTGCCCCTACAAGGGCACTTCGATGGATAGCAAGACTCTCATGGAGAGCAAGGCCAATGCTGCGGCAGCGGCTGCTGTGAATGACCCTAACAAACCGGGTAAATACGTGCCACCGTTTATGAAGGACGGCGGCGGGGGATCTGGCGGCAAAGGCTGGGGTCGCGAACGGGACGACTCTTCGGCGGTTCGCATCTCCAACTTATCGGAATCGATGACCGAGACGGATCTCGAGGAGCTGGTGAAGAAAATCGGTCCGCACACCAAGATGTACTTGGCCCGGGAGAAGAACACTGGTCTGTGCAAAGGGTTCGCCTACGTGCACTTCAAATTCCGCCAGGATGCAGCTGCAGCCATCGAAATCCTTAACGGTCATGGCTACGACCACTTGATCCTCTGTGTCGAGTGGTCGAAACCGCAGCCATAAAACGCGCTTCCTTCTGGACTTACTTCTCAACTTTAATTCCAGAGCGGAAATGAGGCTCGGTCTGGCCGAAAGAAATTAAAATAAAATATGTGATGCAGTGTAAAAAATGAATGAAATTCTTGAATTTTATGTGTAGCGTTGTCATTTTTTCAATCAATAAAACACTTTGAAGTGTTTACTAGTTTATCACTCTCTCTCCTTTCTTAATGAAGCTAGTTTTCTTGTATATTGTATTCCAACAGATATTCTCTATCTGTATATAAACTGCTGAGAAAAATCGAGGTCGCCTCGGGCAGCTAAAGCCGTTAATGCTTCGTTTTAAATGCGTTTTTTTCGCCATGTCCTCCCACAACCGCACAAAGGTGAAAGCCACTTAAATGGAAGCCAACGTGCCGGCTCACAGGATATTGTGGCGGGGGAGTGCCCTGTGTTCCTGGCGGAGCTCGCTGCTCAAGGTGCTCCTGGCAAAAGCTGAGAAATGCCACAAGACGCTGGCTGGCCGGACTGAATGAACATTAATAATTAAATATAAGAGGGGACTTATGCGCACGATACTCGAAGCCCAGGACACAAACTACGAGACCATGACGATGACTATGGACTAGATGGAATAGTGTTTCGCGGAAAAGTCCCGGCTTAGATACACATTTTGAATGAGGGGCGGATCAAAGTGTGGCACAAAAGAAATTTATTCCCATTGTTGTTGCTGGTGTGGTGGGTCGATAGGTGGGCCGGCAGGGGGTGGGGTCAGAGGAAAAGGTAAAGCCAAAGCCAAAGCCGGAGCTAAAGCAGAGTCTAAAACAAATTACTGAATAATTTATAAATTAACTTTTTCTGCGGCCCACTCGTCGTCCATTGTTTGAGTATGGCGGTACGAATTGAAAAGTAAATGGAGCTCCAGTGGATCCGAAAACGTGTGGCGAGTGGAGAGAGGCCGGGGTCAGAGGCAAGGAGGTCGCCGGGAGCCATGCGTTCACCTGCGGGTCATGTGCGCTCACCAGCAACAGAGAAAAGAAACTTCAGATTTAACTTTTGTCAAGAATATTTGATACCCGGTAAGTAAAATAAAGATTTATCAAATGATTTGGATAAAATTAAAGTCGTGTTCCACAAAAGAAAATTTAATTCGTTAAAGCTTGTAACTAGTATTTAATATTTAATAAAAATTAAGTGTACGCACAGCACACCTTGCCGTTTCTTTTCTTAAACAAAGGTTTCACTTAAAGCAGGCCATCGGCTTGGCGGGCATCACTCCGCAGCTCTCCTGGGCATTTGAATATTCAAATGGTCTTAGCTGGAGTTTCCTGGCCGATCTCCCCTCTCTTTCGCCACTGATTTGCCCACTCTCTCCTTCCTCGGCTGTTGCGCTTTAAGTGTATACTGTTATTTACTGTTTTATTGCACGCGCGCCTGCTCACGAAACACACAAAAATTGTTGAAATAATTACACAGTTGTCGAAACAGCAAACACACACAACTTAGTGCAGTCCCAGGACAAGGCTGGATAAATAAAAACAAAGGAAAAATAAAATAAATTCACAGGACTCGCCCAGGCAGCGGAAATTAATTCTCAAATGACCAAAACTTGCGCATAATCAGAATTGGACGGCAGTGCCATTGGCGCTCAAGAGCTCTGCAAACACTTGACACACAAAGCGCCATAGATTTTGAGCAAACATTCCGTCAGAGCAGAGGAAACTATCTACACCCCAGAATTATTTATTTATATAGTATATATATATTTAGTTGGTGTTTACCTGGTATCGGGCCGCAGACGCGGGGTATAATTTCCAATATAGCCGAGCATGAGGGATCCTCGAAACAGAGTTGTCGGGCCAAAATGCAGTTTAGTATGGCCACGACGCCTTTAATGGTGGAACCTGAAATTATATAAAAGAGGAGGTATTAGACAAATTATATGAAAAAGATTGCCAATCAAATTATTCTTCAAATTCTTATAAGTTACTTGAAAACGATTCCTAACATATATTTAGAGTAAGCCGGGCTTTAAATGTTTATCGTAAAATACCATGGAAATCGATCCCGAACTGATGGAGGCTTTTAAAAACCTTCAGGTTTCTATGCGGCCCATCAGCGCTGAGGAGTTAGCCGCCTTCGATGAACACACTCCTCTGAAGGAGCGCAATGAGAAGCAGGATCACCCCTCCTACTCAAAGATACCCAGATTTTTCGATCCCCCACCTAAGCCAGAGGATAAGATCCGTCAAATGATGCGTAGAGAAGCCCATTCGATTTCTTTGCAACGGCAGGCATTTATGCTACCGGACACCGATGAATTGAATGAGCTCTGGAAAGTCCTGCAGGATCACGTTGATGAAACCACAGAGGCCAAGGTCCAGTTGATTGAGTTCGACAGCTTCATTAAGGTTACGGAAAAACTGGGCGAAAAGTTTGAGTTTTTCCTTAGACCGCGTCTGTTCCTATCTCTAATGGTTAACTCTCCAGTACCAGGAAAAGCAGAGGTCCTATCTATTTACAAATATGTAACAGGGAGAGTCGAGCTGGAGCAGGGACGCATTGGCATCAGCTTTTACGATGAAATGGGGCAGGGCGTCCTGCAGGAGGTCGACTTGGAAAACTACATAAGGGATATAATACCCACTCTGGCACAAGTATCCAATTACTTGGAGCCCTCCTTTGAAATCTTCTACGTCTGCACAGTTGTGAAGAAATTCTTCTTCTTCCTGGATCCTTTGCACACAGGGCGTATTCGCATAGAGGATGCGATTATCACGGGAATGTTGTCGGAAGTATTGGAATTAAGAAACGAAGCCAAAGAATCCGAGGAAAAAGACGATCAGGTGGCCGAAGAGAATGAGCATCGTAACTGGTTTTCCCTGGAATCCGTCATTGCCGTTTATGACACATTTTTGGGTCTGGACAAGGACCACAATGGATTGTTGAGCAGAGATGAACTGGCTAAGTATGGTTCTGGGACTTTGACATCCGTTTTTATGGACCGCGTTTTTGAGGTCTCTCGCACCTTTGATAAAGAAATGGACTATAAAGGATTTTTGGACTTTTTCTTCGCCTTGGAATATAGAGATGTAAGTTAAGCTCTCGATATAAAGTTCGCTAACTCAAAAATGTCCGTAAGAAACCCCCAGCATTGCACTACTTGTTTCGCCTCTTAGATGTCGGTCAACAGGGCTTTTTGACAGCTCAGAATTTGAGTTACTTCTTTGAAGACATTGCTCGGCAAATAAAAGCTACAAACGCGGAGCAAGTCCTCTTCCAAGACCTCAAAGATGAAATATTTGATATGGTCAAGCCCTCTGATCCAATGAAAATTACGGTCAAGGACCTATTAAACAGGTGAGTCCGGATGAAAATCATGACTTTGTCGTATATTTCTATATGTATTTCCAATTAATTTCAGTGAGCAAGGCGAGACAGTGGTCTCCATACTAATTGAATATCAGAGGTTCTCTGCCTACGAGAACCGTGACGAAAATCGTGCCAATATTTAATATCAAGGAATTCCCAACGGTAACCCAAAAAAATTTAATTAAGTCAAATTGCCCCTGCAATGACTTGAAATTGTTGAATTTTTGCGTTTTTCGCAATTGTATTGTTCAAATTAAATGTGTAAAGTTCCTTAAATATTTCAGTCGCTTGTATTTGTCTTGTGGCTTCCGTAATTGCCAATGGCTCATCAATATTTACACAAGTATTTTAATTATGTTAATTCCCCAATGATTTCAGATTCTACAATCGTATTACTTTTTTGTCGTTTATAGAAAATCTGACACGAAATGTTAAGCGCAAAAAGTATGCCGACAAGCATTTAAATAATGTTTATATGGAGCTTTTAGTTTTAATCATAATTTTATGTTTCACTGCCAGGGCCTGTGAGTGGGAGGTTTATAAAAAATTCATTTCAATTTCATTTCATTACGTAAAATAAACCAAGTCATCCGGGGTCTGCTGTCTATCTAAGCAGTCAGCTTTATGGCCCCTGCCTACTGGTCACGGTCCCGGCCGGGAGCTCCGTGCCCTCTCTCCTCTTTCAACTGCTCCCCGGATCCGGATGCCCAGTAAAAGTTGTAGCCTGCCCCTGGTACTACCACTGTTTTCAGTCCACCAGCCCAGCTGCCCCCCACGCTCATTAACGAAATGACCGTTTGCATATTGCAACTGGGCGTGGGTGGTGGAAAATCCGGAGTGGCGGCGGCAGTCGGCAGCCGTAGCCGGAATAACAAAAGAAGTGCCTTCAAAAATTCACGAATTGCATGCGGACGCAGCTGAAGTTACACCGAAGAAGAGGCGACTGCAGGAAGTGCAGGAAGTGGCCTACTGCCAGTAGACCAAAAACGAAAGGCGAAAAGTAACTGGGAACAGTAAAAGTTTCGTGGCACTGCCATTCGAATTGTTTGCGGAAATACAAATAAACAAAAGTCAAGAGGAAATTCCGAGAGGGGCACCGTGAGGAAGTCTCTTCTGGACTGGACTTCTGGACTTTAAAGTGTTTTATGGTTATTGGGTGCTTAGAATTGCATTGAGATATGCAGCGCGCGTCTGGCCCGATGACAGGCCAAGAAATTATCAGGCAATGGAATTTTGGATTGGATTTTCGAACCGACTTGGCCGCAAATTGCCGCCACACCAGACACGCCGCCCTCAGTCCCCGGCGACCCATTTGGAATCACTTAAAACACACAAATCAAGCAAAAGTTGAAAACACAATAACAATTGTTTTGGGACACACCATAAATTTGCATGCCAAGAAGAGTAATGCTCTCAGTCCACATAGAAAAAAACGCGAAATAGGCACATAAATATGCGACCGACCGGTCGCCGACTCCTTGCTCGTCCTGTCGCGTCCTTCCCGTATCCTGGAACTTCGCAAGCCGACGACAACCAGAACAATTCGTTTGTGTCACAATCAGATTCGGCACAGGCACAAAAATGTTCGCTTTCGCGTTTCGCGCTCGCCATGTTTCATGAATTATTTCCCCGAACCCCAAAAAGTTTGCGACCAAAAAACTTTGACTGCAGAAAGGAGGCCAAAATAAAAAATTTACAAAAAAAAAATCTAAAAAAGGGGCAAAGGCGGCAAGACATTGACTGGGAACTGGACAGTGTTTCAATTCAACAGTGCAGCGGAGGGCATTTTTGAACTCTTTTTTTTTTAAATAATACAAAATGGGTTAATTTTTTATTTTTATAGAATATTTCTAAATTTTAAAAAACCAAAATTAAATTGTATTTAAGGCCTAATTTTTTCCTGTGCCTTGTTTTGCCTTGATTCGTGCGGCGAACATTTCGATTACCATTTTCCCTGGTGGAACAGGGAAACTGTGGGGGCACCCGGGCGTGGGTTGGAGATTCCTCCAGTGTTTCGCATTTTCTGCAACTTCGTTGGTGGCCTGCCCTTTGCTCTCCTGGCTCAGGTCCTGCTGTTTCTGCCTCTGCTGCTGCTTAAATTTCAATTGTGTGCCAGGGGCGCTGGCCCGACGCTGGAGCACTCTGGTGCAGGCTTTAATAAATTATGGCCCACGTTGGGGGTGGTAGCTGGTAGTTGCCACTGCCGACGCTGCCGCTGCTGCATGCCACTTGGAAAAAGTTAATACAACAAATGCCCTCGCTACAATAGCAACAAGAACAACAATTGCAATAACAATAACCGCATTACGAGGCCGCGAATCGTTGCTGGAAAAGCCAAGTCTGCGGCAGTGGCAACATCAACAACATGGCCGAGAAATGGCAGCTTTACAACTTCCGGTCGGCAAGGACTCAGCTACACACAGGACGAGCGCGTCCTTCTGGCTTCTGTGAAATGTTCGCTGTGGTCGTTGGATGTTTTTATTTTACTCGCTCTGTATTTTGTATTTCTCGTGTACTTTTTTTTGTGCCTGCCTGACTGCCTGGCTCCTGCTCTGTTGCTCGGTGGCCATCCTTATGTCATTCGGGATTATTTTGTGGGTTAAAAACTAATTTTCGGTCATGAAGTGGATTTTGCAGTGTGCATGTTGCCGACATTTGGCGGCCCATAAATATGCAGCAGTGGCAACTAACAAACGAGCAATACACAATTTGCATCGGGGCTTGGGGCATGGGGCATGGGCCACGGAGCAACTCCCAAACGAGCGAGGGAGTTTATAAAACATTGATTTCCCGACTCCCTTAGCTTAAAGTCCTGGGAAGGGATTATCCGTAATAATACCCGTTCACTTCCTAGGAAAAGCCAGGGTAAGCTGTTAAATTTTTCACACACACCAAATGTCAACAGTTGAAAGTGCGTGACCAAATTATTTCATTTCATTTTATTTAATTTATGGTCCAGCACCCGGTCCGCACTCCGGACCGGGGAGCGGATGAAGGCCCTTGCTGGCATTTAAATTTAACTACTGACAGACAATGCGAACGACCACCAGCCACTCCTCCACTCCTCCACCAGCAACATCCATAACAGCAACACCAACTGCGGCAGCAACAGCAACATAAAATGTCGCCTGCGGCCATTTTCATGGGCAACCAACCGAATTGGGTGTTGAAGTTGTGTTTGGGGCTTAACCGAAGCAACAACGAAAACAACAAGCCAAACAGAAAAAATCTGTCGCCCAAGGGCGAGGTGGCGACTCCCATACAGGCTGGGTCAAAAAAATTGTTACTTTTGAGAGGCCTTTGAAAACTTGAAAAGGTGTTTTCAACAAATCAAGATCATTTAAATAAAAAATAATTTAATGTGATGTAGATATAAAAAACTTATTAAATATATGTATTAACATAATATTGTGCCCTCTTTTGTAAGGAGTCGAGGTATCGGGGCCAGAATAACGAGAACGCTGCTGGGGATTATGGTCAATTATGTGTAAATACAATTATTGTTATTGTTGTCGCTGTTCATGTTGTTGTCATTGTTGCACGGTGTTGCCCCTGACGTCTGGTGCACTTGTCGTTGTTATTGCCATTGTCATTGATGTTTTTCCATAATTGTAGTTACCGTTGCCAGCCGTGTGAAGCGCGGCGTAAAATTTGTTGTTTTCACAGCACGCCTGGCCGATGATCGATTCATTAAAAGTGGGACATTTTAAAACAAGCCGGCGACCTTTTCCCGAACTTTCCGGAAGGACTCTCCGCCCACTCGTGTCGCTTTTTAGTTGCTGTGCACGTTTTCCGTGATTTAAGTACAATCCCAGTTGGTTGCCAGCACAGCAAACAAAAGTACAAGACGTGGAAAAACACAGAATAAATCAGGAAACAATAATAGAAGTGTAAGTACAAGCAGGAAAGCATTTGCCGAGACAATGCAGTAAATTCCTCGGCATCCCAAGGTGGTCCTTTCGATTCCGGCTTAGTCACGTCACCGGTGCAGCTTTTGCCAAGAGCTGGGATTCAAAGGGGTTTTATTTTCCCCCCAGATTCAAGCAGTCGATTTAAAGGCCTAAAGTGGATTGCCAGGACTCGAAAATAATTTAATTTGACTCTCAAAGTTACTCAGAATCAGAATGAAACCTATTAGCAAACATAATAAGCCAGTTACTGCGCCACTCGATAACACAAACAGCTCTCTTCTGAATTTATTCCGCGGGCTAAATTTTATTCAGCCACTGGCTGGCATTATCGGGAGAAACCAAAACAAAATAAACACATCAATAAACAGAGTTGACAAAGATTTGATTGCATTATTATAAAACAATTTGCATTCGATAAAAGTCAAAAGCAGTGGCAGCCAAAGTCATAAAAGTCGCGCAATGAAAATTGGACCACCAATGAGATGGAAACATGGAGGGGCGGCTGGGGGCTGGATCCTTTGGCAAAGCTGCTGAATCAGAAGGAACAGTGGGGGACACAGTCACTTTTGTTGCTTTCGAAATGAGGAGGAAAAGGAAAAATATGCAAAATGCGCATAAATCTAAAGGCTCGGCACGGGACGGAAATCACGGCGGAGGCAGCCTTTGGATGAGTTCCCATCTGCTTTAGTCAAGCACTGAGAAAAGAGTATATGTTTATTTGTATTTTGGTTTTAGGAAATAAATATAAGAACGGATATTTTCAAAAAGAGAATTTTAAACAAACTTAAACAAAAAAAAAAAACTAAAAATTAAATTTAAAATCAAACACGTTTGTATATAATCTTCATACCTGTCTTGGAAAAGTTTCTAACCAAACTTAAACGGTTTAATTAAAGTTTATTCCATGAGCCCCAAATAGTTACCAATAAAGCCATTGCCAACATTTAAATATTCCAAGCCATCATTTAATTTATTTATTAAGGCATTTTTTCGAAAGAAACAACGTTTTATTTAGTGTGTACCCCCCCTTTGTGGGAAATCGAATCTTGTCCTGGCAGCGGGTCGACGTTCGCGCATGCAGAATAAATGATTTTCTATTTGTTAAGTCAAAGTGAAATTGTCTGAGGGCTGGGCGTTTGTGCGTGAGCCTTGTGTGTGTTGACATTTCTTTGAGCCGCTATCACTCACTGGCTTAGAGCCGGCAAAGCTAAAAAAACACACACTCAAAAAACCCGAAAGGAGGGCTCATACGAGCGTGGGAGCGTGTGTGGGGCAGAGACAACATTTCCAGCATTTACATTTCATTTTTTGTCGTTCGTCAAATGGTTTGGCCTGGCCGCCTTGCCGTCTCAT